TTGGGGATGTCTTGTAGGAAATCCATCTTGCAAGCTGAAGCAGGGAACTGCTAAGGCAGCTGCACCCGATGCAACCATCACAAAACAAGAGACCTTGAGAACTAGAAAGGCCGAGGCTCACCACCCATTTATCCCTCCGCCTTTCAACCAGCACCACATGTGATTTTTGGCCAGGCTGGCACAATTAACTAACTCAGTGATTTTTTTTTTTAATTATTGTTTAGGTTGAGCATCTACATGACAGTTGTATGTTTACAGAAATGTGATGTGCAAAGATCCAAGTATTTGTGCTTGAGTCTGAATGATTTTTGGATAAAGTTACCTGGGGAATAAAAACATTTGAACTGATGATTCTTGCACTCCGTATTTAGATAGCATTAATTCTCATTCTTAAGATTTGAGATACTATAATATAGTTACCCCTATCTGGCAAAATTTGCAGAGGCCAAAGGGAATATAAGATATTTATCTTACTTCTTAGAAGAAGACTCAGAATCCCAAACCAAACCACATTCAAGGATTATAAACCAGCAAATGCTTGTATATGAAGGAAAAATACATCAAACAAATGCAATCTTTTGTTACTTCAAGATATGTGCATAGTATTTGGGGGAATAGTTAAACTTACTGGCTTAACATATAAATAATATAGTTACTGTAACACGAAGAAATTTTCAATATTTTTATAGGGATAGGCCAGAAAAAAACATTCTTCATTTTTCCTTTTCTCGCTCTTCACAGCTCTTCCTGTTGAAGAGCCATACCCCTCCTGTGTTACAGCTTCCTGTTGACTGTTCTCTCCACCCGAGATGAGGGGGCTCCCTTCACCGCTAACTATAAAATGTTACATTTAGACCTTTGCATTAACTATTCTAATGGCAATGCTCCAAAGGTTATTGTTAAAGTGCCACCGAGTTGGTTATGACCCCTAGCACCCTGAGTACAAGCCTGCCTGGTCCTGGGCCGTCCTCAACATTGTTCTTGAATTGGAGCCCATGTTGTAACTACTGTGTCAAACCATCTTGCTGAGAGCCTCCCTCTTTCACTGCGCCTCTACTTTACTAAGCTTGATGTTCTTCTCCAGGGACTGATAATCACCTGACTTGTAAAAGTAAGTGAGACAAAGTCTTGCCTCTAAGGAGCACCCTGGCTGTACTTCTTCCTAAACCTATTTGTTTGTTCTTTTGGCATTGTTGGTTTGAAACTTTCAGTAGGACCATAATTCAGATGCATTGATGTTTTGATCTTCCTTTTTAAATGACTGGTCTTTTTAAATTCATAACAGCTTTTGATTATTTGCTGTAAAGTTGTAAATGTACAATGATTCACACATATATACATTTTTTTAAATAATTTTATTGGGGGTTTGGACAGCTCTTATCACAGTACATACGTACAGCAGATACTAAAGTGTAAGCCAAGTTTTTCAGCACATTCTCTATGCAGTTTTCGTGGTAAAATTAGGTGCCTTGGCAGATATTCAGGACAGCTTATACTCGAGTATATACGATAAGTCCATTATGTCATGCACATTTGTACATATGTTGCCATCCTCATTTTCAAAACATTTTCTTTCTGCTTGAGCCCTTGGTATCAACTCATTTTCCCCTCCGCCACCCTACCTCCCTCATGAATGCTTGGTAATTTATTTAATTTTTTTTTTTCACGTCTTACACCAACTGCTGTCTCCCTTCATCCACTTTTCTGTTGTCCGTCCCTCTAGGAGGGGGTTATATGTAGATCATTGTGATTGGCTCCCCATGTACATATTTTCTTTAAGTTACACCCAAGTGTTCTTACAACCAAGTCGCTATTTGGTTGTAACTAAAAAATGAGAATAATCAGCTGCAAACACAGAAAGAAATACTGTGTG